CCTACTACTACAACTTCTGCTTATTGCTTGTACTATTACTTGTGTTTTTTCTCTGCTATTAATGTTACAGAAACTATGATTACCGATTACCTGCTCCTCCAAATGTACTTTTTGGTCATTCAGTGTTTTTCAGCTGTTTTTGAGTCAGCATATTCTTGATTGAAAAGACTACCGTACCGCAACTCATACAAAAATATGATCAAATTATACCTTTTAGGGGAAAAATGCATAATGTAGCAAAATATTGTCCATGCCACTGTGTCTGGTACCTTAAATGTGTTGATGGTGATTGTTTTTGCACGCATTATGAGTCAGAAATTTGTCCACACAATCTGACACAGGAACTCGCACATCACAATATAGTATAATAACAAAGAGTAAAAACTATAAATGGTAACAATAAATACCTCAAGGCACACTCATGTTCCCTGGCACACTAGTTGAAAATCAGTGATTTAAGTGATGCACGGTGTGTTTGTCTAGCAAAATGTGTATTTGACATAATCAACTAATTATTTGATTTAGTATTTATGAGATACCAGGGGAAAGGAGAAGGCATGGATTGAGCTAGTTGAAGATTTGGGAGTTAAATATTCTTTTTTACATGTAAATACATATGCAGTTTCCTAATACTTTTTTCTATATAAATTGTTGTAAATATAAATATATATTGTAGACTTGTGAGTGCAATTTGGACCCAATACATGGTCAGGTCATATATTTATAGGGGTGTAACAATATCCAAGTCTCACGATACGATATCATCACGGTATTATCATCACGGTATGAACCTCACGGTACGATATTTATTGCAATATTGCGAGACTCACAATTAGGGATGTAACAATATCTAAATCTTTCAGTACAATATTTTCAAGATATACATCTCATAGTACAGTATTTATTGCGATATTGCGAGGCTAACAAAACTGTTAATACATTACTTTTTTCTCTTAAAATGCCCTGACAAGACTTAATCCAAAGAACTATGATTTAAAAGTGCTTAGAACTTTTATTTCTTCATTTAGTCTACACTGAAATGGAGCAAAGGATCATGGTCTATGCAGTTCCCTCTGTCTTTTTTTTTTTTTTTAGCTATGGCTGCACCATAACTCTTAATTTAAGCAAAGAGACTTGCAATTTGATATATTGTGATGGTCCACGATATTATTGTGAGAACTTTGATGATACGATTTCACGATATTTGGGTTATTGTTAAATCCCTATATATTTACAAAGATTTTAAGAACTTTTGCCAATTTTTGTCACACTTTAGTAAACTTTTTGATCGACAGGGCATGTCTTCTGTCAACTCTTGCTCTCGTTATTACTAGTACAACTAACAGCATTACTTCTACTACTTGTACTACTACCTACTTCACCCACATTTACCGCCCTTTTTACCCTCCTACTACTTACTATTTCTACTTGTACTGGATACCTGTACAACCGCATATACTACTTGTGCTAGTTCATGTTGACGCCTGAAATCCCATCAGTAAATAAACTTTTTTCTTTTTCTGCTCTTTCCACTTCTGCATTCTTCACATCAAAACACAGTTGGGTATTGAGCCACCACCTTTCTCCGTATGCATTTGTTGGAATGACCTTTCTTGACCTCTGTATTGACGTGCATCACAGCTCTCACATACAGCCCACAGCACTTTAGTGTGTCTGTATACTTCTATATTCTCTATATTCACAGGTGAAGCCAGTGCTGTATTTCTTCTCATTCAACACACAGACATTAACTCTACAGCACAGTGAGGTCACACTTGAAATACCTATAGATTTTTAGCAATCCAAACATTTTTTGTATAGAACCAACTTCTGAAAATTAACTGAAAATTGAAAATCAATTTTTATAGAGTATTTGGTATGTCTTCAGCTATGCATCACCCAAGACCTCTTAGTTTATCCAGACATTTACCTAGAAGTTCTTAAATTTCAAATATTTCTTGCGTAATAAGACTCACAAAAGTTATTTATTTTGAGATGTTCACAAAAATGCAGCCATTCTTTATGTGTGGGCTCCGATAGAAATGACTCTCCACAGTTTAACAGCCCAGGATGAGGGCAGAAGTGTGGGTGTGTGCTTATGAAAGGGAATGTTTGCATCTAATGGAGGTCAAGATATGCTGAATTAACCTGACTTGTCCAGGGGAAATATCAGCAGCGGAGAGAGCAGCCAGAAGTAATACTCAAGTAACAGTAAAATTTGTTATAAAAAGTACAAAAATGCATGTCCCTCTACCTGTCGTACACTGAAATTGACATCCAAAGTGCAGGGGGAATTTACACACGAGGAAGGTTTTTTTCTGAGAGATTAAATTTGTGTTTATTAGTCCAATCTGGCCCTTGCTAATATGGCTGCTTTTAGGGCTTGGCCTGCTTTTAGGGCTTTTTTTTTCTCTCTAAAAATTTGATTTTTTTTAGAGAAAAACTAAACTACAGAAAATGGTAAAAACTGAAAACATTCAGTGATCATATTTAACCTATTGGCCATTGAGGAAATCTTTTATGAATGAGATAAAACAAACATTAAACATGTAGGAAGCAGTAAGCGCTGCATAGGCCTGTGCTGAACTCTGCTCCGTTTGTCTGCAGTGAGGCAAGAAAGTGGGGAAAATAAAAATTGATCCCCCCCAAACAAATTTGAACAGATTTGAACTTCAAATGTGATTAACTGATTACATACATTTAAATTGCCCAGCCCTAGTTGCTAGGTAACAGTTTTGTAAAACAAGGCAAGATTTTTAGTAAAATTTAATGATGTATAATGATGATGATATGATAATGATGTTTTAGTGAAATGAGTAGTTGAGCCTGTCATACATAACTCAAGAGTAAGAGTTTGGTCATAACATCTGCTTTATAATTAGACGTTAATTCAGTCTGAAGGACAGGACAATAAAAAATACACAAAACATATTTTTAAGGGATAGATGACAAAAATTAAAAGAAAAAATCATATCTGAAGGAGTGGTGTGAGAAACTCACGTTAAAATAATTTAATATTGTCAACAACCTTTATCTGTGGAAAGAGTAACCAAACTTTTACTCAAGAGTACTTGGAATAGTTTGATGGTGGTAAACTTTTTAAATAAAATAGTACTTCTCAAAATAGTTTCCCATGTATTTGAGTACATTTATATACTACTACTGCCCACATTTGGAAAATACCATTCTACACATTTCTGTATTTTTGAAGACTATTAAAAAACGTCTCAGCATTTGAGATGGGAGTTCTCTGACCAAAGAATTACATTTTTTTTCTGATACAGGTAGCTACGCTGTCCTTGAAGCCGCACACAGATTCATCAGTATTTTTTCAATTATCGTGGTAAACGCAGCGAGCACAACATGAATGAAATAGTTTAAAAACTCAATCTAACTTTTTGATGACTAGATATACTTTAAATAGTCCCAGAGTTTTCTTCATTTCCAAGCTTTACCAATGCAAGCTTATATTTTTGAATAGAGTAGGCTATGTTATACGTGGTCAACCATAAAGAGGCTTAAGAACATGACAAGTATCATGATCATACCACCAGTTTGTGGTACTGCAAGGATTGTCAAAAGTATCGAAAATCACATACTAATCAGTACTAAAACTGGTTTAAAAACTAGATACTCAGTTGAGCAGGTATCCATATTAAAACCTTGAAAACTGAGGGATTGCACAAATATAAGATCGGATTGTAATTTAAAAGAAAGTACTATGATTTAGTTTTGAAAATCACATTCTATTGTCTAAAGAAAGAGTGTTTTTAATTATCCTAGTGGTATCAGCATCAGTCTTAAATATATTATATTACTAGTCGTAAATTGAGTTAAAAATTTTAGTATTGTGACAAGACTACAACTAACTTCTACAAGAACAGGAATCTATTATTCAGTATTTTAATTCAAAACCCAAAACTCTATGTTCTGGTCAGCAGTAAATGAGCTCAGACCACCGCTAATACAGTTTCAGCCTTGGATAAAATGTCCTTCTTTGAGCATTACAATTTTATCTTTACAAAATTAAAATCTCAAAATTAAGATGGTTTCACGAGAACGCTTGTGGGTAAAAATGACAAAATATTTTATTGGAAGTGCCTTTCGTTTAGACGGCGACAGTGTTTTTGGGGTTCAAAAACGCAAAAAAAATAAATAATCTGAAACCACCCTCCAGAATGGAAAAGTTGAATACACTCCGCCGTAGCGTTTCTGTCTACACTACCCAAGACGCAAAACTCTGGTCAGATCTGCTCATGTAGTGTACGCATCATCGCACATCACCACCTAGCATCACCACCGAGCCGCCTGGCATGACACTTTTGCGTCATGGGCCAAACTAAATATTTATTGAAAAATTTCAACAACATCTGCATGTTTTCTCTTCATGTTTTTCTCTTCTTTCGAGATATGTAATGTTAGAACTGTTTAATAATAGTTTTGCTTAAACATTGAATCCAGAACAAGCATAATATAAAATAATAAAAAAGTTAAATAAATAATGTCTCTATAGCCTATCTGTAGTCAGCCTAAGTTTAACATGTCTGGTTTAAAGTCCAGGTAAAGTTATAACATCTCCATGGAGGTCCATCTCCAAGCAGGTAGCCAATCCCCACCAGAAAAGTTGCATAGTGCGCCTTTAAATCTTCACCATAGGCTGATATGTTGTTGGTTTGGCTGATCACCTGACTAAAGGGAAAAAATTTAACTTTATATTTTAAACACGGTAGTTTCGAAGAAGACACCACCAAATGTGATAGTATGTGTTTAAATAAGATTGCAAATATGTTTGTTACGATTTCAAATAATATAGTTTTGGGCATATATCCAAAAAAAAAAATAAAAAATTGACATATTTCCCACTACTACTGTGAACTCCTAAGTCTAATTATAATACAGTCTTTATGCAACATTAGAACAGGCGTATCTGATCATATGGCCTTCGTATACATTATTATTCACTACATGTAATCCTCCCTCTTTCTCCCTTCTCTGGACAGCACGAAGACTCCGAGGCGGGCTGTGTTTGCCGGCAGCATGCAGTTACTCGCGGGCATCAAGCTGTGCACAGGCAGAGTGCTCACCAACCACCCCCATTATGAAGATAAAGACCTGCGGGAGAGGACCAGGCAGGTACGCCCCAACACACACAGCGCAACGCAAGCACCATCAAAGAGGCGAGAGAAACGAGAATATTCTATTTTAATGCAGAAGTTTTAAAGAGGCATGGTGTTAAATGAGAACACATACCGACTTTTTACTTGCAAATGTAATAATTCAACTGTTATTAGGGAAGAGATCTCATGAGACAAAATTGCCATTAGATTTTACACATGAAAAAAATGATCTTGTGAGATTTGTCCTTTGTGTTTTTACATTACACACAAAAAAGAAAACAGGGCTAAGTGAGGATGAGTTAGTCCAATTGAGAAATTGTTCTTTATTTGTTATTAATCATGTGAAAATCTCATCTTGTTGACCTAATCTTATATCCGGTAGGGTTGGGCGGTATCCAAATTTTCATTTTCAATTTTCAATTTCAACGCACAAGGAAAGAGCTGTTTTTATCAGCGCTTCATAGTTTATGCAAATGAGCCATGTGATTTTAAGTTTTGTTTCTGTAAAACATAAACAAATGTGCCTGAAGCCAAAATGCTGCCAAATTGCAGAAGTACTAGTATTTAGGCCTGACTTGCCATCTTGTCTTGGTCTCCTTTATGAGCTGTCACGGAACGAAACTAATCAAACGTCATCTCCCCACACAAAATTGTGAATAGCGTTAAATTGAAAATACAACCATACATTAATTTGTGCTGAGCAAACACATTTAGGTATCAATAAATTATAATATTATATTAGGTCTTTATGCACTGCAGATTTTTTTAATGAAGGGAATGAAACCGTCACTGCTTTTTGATAATACCGTATGACCAACCCTAATATCCGGTATCGTCTTGTGGAAATTGTGTCTGTTATTGGCAAGTAAATAGAAGCTCTCAAATCTGTTCACCACTTTTTCCTCCACATCTCAGACCAAAATCAGATAGAGCTGTCCAATCAGGTTTGTTTATTTCAGGAGCTGATTGGGCATAGCTGTTCTACCTGGTACATGAACAAACTATGGCTCAGGGGCCAAACGCAGCCCTCAGAGCATTTTTTGTAGGTCCTCAGGCTTCATGATAAATTGGCCCAAATAACCACGAGCAATACTTTTTACTGCAAGTTTAGAAAAACATCCACCATCAGAACTTCTCAAACTTTTTGGAATGAAACTGACTGTGCTGACTCCATCAACCCTCCACCAAAATGCATAGATTTGAATATATTTGACTGTGTGTACCAATAGTCTGTGGCCCTCTGCTTCATGTAGTCTATGTTTTGATTTGATCTCTGCAACAGGTTCACTGGAAAACCTAACCAGATAAGAGTACTAGAAATGATTACTTTGGACAAGACAACACTCCTTGCTAGTCCCTCTAGACCAGTTCTTTTCTCAGAATTGATTAGTTCTTTTCAACAAGAGTACAAATGTTTTCAACTTAACCGGAGATGACTTGCTGAAAACCTGAGATCTGCTATGTAACACCCCTGGCTGAATCTCATCTAATGCAGTCCTTGTAATTCTTTTAATTTCCGCTTTAACACTCATTACCGGATAGTGTCTAACAACCCCATACCGTGGAACCACCAGCTGCTCTATGTTCATAGGTCTTTTCCATCTGCTTCTTGCCATGTCATTTCCCCTCACACCGACAAGCCAACCTGTGTCTAGTGCTCTGCTCACCTCCCATTTCCCCACGCTGTCCGCTAATGTTTGGGGAATTGTCTGCAGATGGGGGCCACTGACCTGCGCTGATAGTGTGAATGAATATGGGATCAGACCATGCTCTTGGTACAATGTGGAGCCATTAAGGTACTCCCTGTTCCTTGACACATGTGCTCAAAAAGCCACTAGAATAGGATGGGAGCTCTTCTTGTAAATGATCAAGCAGGAATGATCCACAAGAGCTTTTAGTCTGGAGTGGTAGTCTATTTTTGGCAATAAAAAACGAAAAGGAAAAAACTGTGTATTTCCATTTCAGAGACCTTAACTGTGATGCAGGGTAGTGATGCCTCCTCAATTTAATTATACTTTGAGGAGGACAGAAAAAGAAACCAGGCAGGTAGCAAGCTGCATACAAAACCCCAATTTTCTGATTTGAACAGCTTTAGCCTTGAAGATCTTTTAACTTTCCTTTGTGGATTACTGATACAAATTATGACAACGTTTCACAAGTACAAGTGAGTCTGGTTAGCCTGATTCATCAGCCGGGTTCACTTCGTGGAAACTGTCTGACCTCACAGCATTAGGATTCATTCGCTCGATGGTAGACGGATACTTTTTTTTAAATTTAACCAGTCGCTGTTATTTGGACGTGACATATCTAATGCGCTGCTAACGGGGCTAACTGGTATAGTAAGTCTTCCCAGTTCCCATAGGAAGAAGGACAATAACGTCTTTCCCCATGATAAAAGTCACCAAACATTCTCTTTGTTCCTGGCTTTAAATCCTCGATCTGGGGAATCATTGCCAACACAGAATGTATGGCTCTTCGCTGATTGGCTGCTGCCTGGACTCGCACTTCCGGGGTTCTTGGAAACCGTCTAGTGTATTCCGATTCCTGACCTTGAGCCGAGACACTAGGTGAAGCCAACCTGGCTATAGTCTGGTATCCTGCTTCCCTAATTTGAGTTAGGCGTGATTGACAGGCAGATTAACCAATCAAAGACTAATCACAAACAGGATAAAAACAACATAGAGGACTAAGAAACTGCACAGATTTCTGCAGAATCAATAATCGAAGCACTAAACTCTTATTGTAAAATATATATTTTGTCCTGAATGATAAGAGAATTTTCGTAAAGACATGGCTTCAGCATTTGAAATTAACAGCTGTGGTTGGACCATCGCAGGTGAGCACAGAGGTTTTTCACAGAACAGAACTATCTGGTCAGACAGGCACTATAACAAAAAAATTGATTTTGTTTTTAATCATAGTGATCGATCCTGATTTTGTTCTCTTATTAAAACACATAAACATGGCTTTCAATCCTCTCTTCCTAAGTGATATAATTTAAGGAGATTACCAGCACCTGTTCGGGGCTGCTGGCCTTGGTGGGCAGTATGCCATTTTGGTTTTGTGTATGTAGTTTAGTCTTTTCCTGTTCTGTGCCTTTTTTGATTTGGTCACTCGATTCTGTTTGTGGGTTTATGTGGTTTAATTTGGGGAACTTGTGTTTTAGTTTAGTGTGTGTCCCTAAGTTTTACCACTCGTTTTTGTGTAAGCCTGCGTGACCCCTTTTCTGGCACAAAACACTGTTTCTTCTGTTGTTCTGTTTCTTAGTTTAGGTTGTTTTCTGTATATTTTTAGTCTTTTGTTAATTTATCTTTTACATTCCTGTTAATTAAACATTATTTAATTTATTCCATTTTACATCTTGGCTTTATTTTTGTTAATTCCCTCACCCCAAACGAGCTGGGTCGTAACAGCGGGGTTGTCTCTCCACAGATCTGACTTGTAACTTGATCCGTTGGGTCTCCATGAAGGTGGAAAGGTGTAATATAAAATCATACTGTGAAACATTCCAGACAAAGGAACTGCATATCCATGGAGAAAAGCATTTGACGGGCCCTCTACCAGAAAAGTTACACATTGCAGAAGATTAAATTACATCAAATATTTTCATAAGTTGTACTTGGTGTGAAAAGTCCATAAACTGAACCTTGAACCTCACAAATATAAATGTCTTTCTCTGTTTCCATGTCTCTTAGTTGAATTTTCAAATTATAACAGTCGCTCAACATCTAGCCCTCTGATCTCAGCCATAACACCGGGATAATAATAAAATATATCTAAAATTGTATTACAAACATGAACAACAAAACCTGCTATCATATCCTGGCAAATTAGCTGTGCGTTCCTTATCTTTTCGTGTGCTTGCCATTGTGTTATTGTGAGCGCGTTAGACAGAGTGCACGGGTCACGGAGGGGGTACGGGAGCCCGAGTCCGCCCCCCCGGTGGGAAGTGAACCGCGGGCAGGCCGAGCAGCTCATTAAGGCTCCGCCACACAGCCACGGACCTCCAGGCTCCTCTCCGTGAGTCCTCCCCCCCTCCAGAAGTGCGCGATGTGTGCGTGCGCGAGTCTTAAACGCACCTCAGAACTTTAACAACGGTCCCAGTTCTTTTTAAAGCTTAATTTGTTTGCCTGGACAAAACAATTCATTAGCGGACAAAACTGCGGTTGTTCTCGTGCACCTTTGTGGTTGTTTTTTACTGTTTCGTGAATTCATTTGTATACCCACCGGGCAGGCGTTCTTAGCAAGAGAGATTTTGTGTTTGTTTATTTTCTTTTCGCTATGTGCTTATGTTATGTGAGTGCAACCTTTGGCGTGAGCGAAAGTTCAGATAACAGTGTTTTCAAAGCTCAAATATAAGCAACAATTAAACACAGGGATAAAGAAGGCTCTGATGACGGACGTAAAGGGTTAAACCAGGATAGGACTGGCAAAGTTTATGATAGTTCTGGTGCTAAAGAGAAAACTATTCTACACTATAAAGACAAATGTGAGATTGAACCAGGGTTAATTGGATTGAAATGATCTTAATTAGCTCATTCAAATTAGTTTAATTAGCATTATTTCTTCATTAAAGCAGGTCTAAATTTTGACTGATAAACAAAACAAACAGTACATTTAAAGGCAGTGGTGGAACTGAACAAAGTAGTAAAGTACTGTACACATATTTTAGGCATCTGTATTTTACCTAAGTGGATATGTTTTACTTTTACTTCACTACATCTGGTATTTGTACTTTCTACTCCACTGCATTTTCAAGCAGGACTGAAAAGTAAAAGTATTTGTATTATTGTTTGAGACCTGCTGAAACGGCTGAGGGTTTTATTTGGTTTATTAAAGATCATAATTTGAGCAAACAAAAATATACAAATAAAAACAGCTAGGAATGGAAAAAAAAATTCAGTTGTTTCTGCTGAACAAACTTTAGCACATATCTTTATTAAAATCACTACATTTGTAGCTTTATTAGAGCTCAAAATCTGTGCAAAATACTTTTACTTTTAATCTTTAATACATTTTCAAACAGGCACTTTAATACTTTTATTTAAGTAGATTTTCTTTTACTTTACTTGAGTATTTATTTGCTTCATTTTCTGTGCTTTTACTTAAGTAATAAAATTGAGTTCTTCTCCCGCCACTGCTTAAAGGCACTGTACCTTTTATAGTGTCTTAAAAATGTAAAACACAGAACTAGCTCAAACGGTTGAAAAGGTTTGCAGCAATCCTTGTATGACTCACTTGCATCCTAGCATTGTACTTTTTCACTGCAGTGAGTTTATAAGCATGTTTGACAACTTTCAGAGGCCTACTACTAACAGGCTAACAGTATTATTTCCTGGTTTGCGGACAATAAAAACACTTTATATTTCAATACAGACAGCATCAAGCAGTCTAAACTAAGGTATGTTAGCGTTAGTAGCCATCTCCAGATCATGGGTGTTGATCAGGAATAGGCCCACCCAGCTGGAGGTTTTGGGAGGGAGACCAGATTTTCAGAATAAAAAACTGGGACTGGGCTATTTGTTAATAATAAAATTGTGAAACAAAAAAAAATGAATCCGTCAAATGCACATTAAAACCCCTGTCCTTGTGCCCATGGGTGGGTTGGTCACGCTCGGGCATTGGTCGGTGCACTGGCCCTCTGCAGCAGTTGGAGCAATTCAGGAAAATTGTTCTGCACTCGGCACTCTTTACAGTTGGCAGATCAGATCAGATTGGTCCAAAATAGGGACACCTGGGACATTTCTTGTATAAAACTGGGACAAATAAGTGGTTTTAGATAAATCTGCTGAGACAGGGAACACAGTGCTCAAAACTGGGACTGTCCCGGGTAAATAGGACTCACCAGAATACCAGGGGAATACCAGATGGCAGCCCGTAGACGTGGTGAACATGTAAACTTCACACAAAGGCCTCACCTGGTTAGGGAATTAAACCCAGGACCTTCTTGTTGTGAGAGGAGAGTGCTAACCTCCTACAAAGGTCAAAGCCAAAACAAAAACAAAGATGATCCTGCTATTTTTTCCAAATAAATTTGGATTACAAGAACAATGAGATTTGTTTCATCGGAAGAAGTGGGGAGCTGCACAAGCCTATATTCTTTTTGAGATTTTCGGTTGAAACGCATTTAGGTCTACAATGTATTATTCCACTTTCATCATCCTCTATTGTAACTGACCTTATGTTGCAGTAGACTGGATATTCTTTATTTAACATTAAGCTTAATAATATAGCTGTGCATTTGAATTAGTCCGGATTTAGCATCAGAAACCGTGTAGGTGGGACTGAACGTGTTGATTGCTGTGAAAGAGTATTTCACGCTGTGGAACAGTGGCTTAATGATAGGATTTGGTTAAGAATAGATCAATCAAATGGGAGAGGAAGGTATAAAGATTATGGATTAAAATAAACTAGATTAATGCAATGCCCCGCAGAACACTCTTAACTATCAGCCTGCAGTCTAACCAACTACTGGGTATATGCAAATGCAACAGTCATTACACGTACGTTCATTCCACAAAAGCCTTTGAATACAAATGTCTTTGCATATTTGAAATAAGCTTGTTAAAATATCCAACAATGTAAAGGCCCACCTCAAATTTCCTTCTGTATGTTTTTGGATGGGATTGTTCTATTCAGATTTGGTAAAAGGACAATAACTGGAATGAGTGTTAAAGTTTGCCAATACACAGAGCCAAATGTTGAGGTAAATTATGTGTAGAAATTGATTAAATAAGTTTGAAGAACAAAATATTTTGATTTCTGCATTAAAAGTTGGTAACAGGAATGACATCCCCCCATATTTGTAAACCTTAAAAAAAAAAAATTGTGAACTAGTACAAGTACAACTTTAGAAGTGGACCTTGTATAGATTTTTAAATATTCATATCAAGTACAACATATTGGATATCATATTGGCTGATAAATTTAAAATATAGTATACATTTTTAAAAGTATCATACGACTTCTGTAACATAAATAAAAATAGTGTATGGCAGGTGCAGGTGAAGTGACTGAATGCTAATGTAAACACAATTAGCATTATGTTAGTACATGTGATTTTATAATCAAATGAATCTGTTTTATTTCCACCAAAACATTTTAAAGTACAAGTTGCTAATTGAGTTATAATGAATATATTGTGAAACCAAATGTGTGCTTTTCCTTGCTTTTCTAATTTGGATCAATTTGCATCACTGAATCAATGTAATAAATAATTGTCACCTTGTCAAAACAAGCTGAATTTTAGTGCAAATTAAGCTATTCGTTTAAGCCGAAACTTAATTTGCGAGATCAAAACAAACATTGATTAAACTATTGGGCTCGATTTATTTGGACAACGAAAAAAAAAAATTCTATTAGAAATAATATATTTCTGAAATTACTCAAATCGGCCAAATGCTTCCACCAAACCCTTAAAATATGCAGTCAACATTCCCAGAGCTGTGTGCTGCTAAGTTACTCATTTTTCCTCCAATTTACTTTCTCCTCTAATTGTTTTCGCAATTCATTTTCATAAGCATGCGGTAATTGAATTGAATAAGATTTCATTAAAACTGTAAGTCTGTAATAAAACATGCAAATTTATTGAGTTCCCGCCTGAACAATAGCAGTGCTGGGAAGGCGTGGGACTTGCATACTCTTCTACAGTAAGGCTTGTGTGTGTGTTTGTGTGCAGGTCTACCAGGTGTACGCGCGGCGCCCCCCAGAGGAAGTGCATGAGATCCTGAGGGCGGTGGGGGCCGACTACGTGGTCCTGGAGAACAGCATCTGCTACGAGAGAAGGCACAGGAGAGGCTGCAGGCTGCGCGACCTGCTCGACCTGGCCAACGGACATGTGGGTGGACTGGTCTAAATCATCTCTGCTTCCTTGCACTCTGAATGTAGTGTGTATGTGTGTGTATGTGTGTGTGTGGTTAGAATTTCACAATATCATATTTTAGTGTTATGATTTTTGAGAGAAAAAAACACAATGATTTAACTATTATTCATGACTGACTGACATCATAACCAAACAATAGTAAAAATCCTAAATTTTCTTTCATTTGTGTTATCAAAAATTTTATAGTATGTGACAGTGTCGCACTATTTGTGAGTTCATAAGCTCTCCAGAATGCGTCTTGAGATACTTCAGCTGTAAGGTTTAAATTCTCCTAGCAGCAGGTGGACCAATCACAGAGCAGCGCTGAGGTTTGTGTGGAAACGAAAGGCGCATAGAGACTACGTTGTGAAAAATGTGCAGAACTTTAGCACTTGGTTTGACTTTTCTGCTTTTTCTGATGCAAATATTAGTTATGATGGTCTGTCTTTTCCCAATCACCTTCAGCAAGAACCGCTCTCGATTCAGTCAGAGTGCTTCACATATGATACCAGGTTACCTTTGAGACAAGTTTTAGACCATTTTTAGAGAGAACGCTATAGTGATACCAAGTTCTGATGGTATTGGCATCATATTTTCTCTTTCTATGCTTAAAGGTGCATTGTGTAACTTTTCTGGTGCATGGTCCATCAAATGCTTTTCTCTATGGAGGTGGTATTGCTTTGTCTGGAATGTTTCACAGTATGATATTAAACCTTTCTATCTTCATGGAAACCAAACTAGACCAAGATACAGGTCAGATCTGTGGAAAAGCAATCCCGCTCACAGTCAGAATGCTTTTCTAGGTATTTTTAAGTAACCTGTAATTGAATAAATGTAAGATAGAGCTGTTTAATATCATACCGTGCAACCTTCCAGACAGAGCAATGACATATCCAATAGATGCACAGTAAATATGCAACTTGATATATTCATCTGTTCTTGTTGCACACAGGATTTTAAAACTCTTGTGTTTAATCCAGTTATTCTGTTCTTTAGAGACTGTTATTGAAGTCTGGGGTAGAGGTCTAAATTGTCTAAAGCCTAAATAGGAAGCGCAGTCCCCTCTGACCACTTAAAACGAACACGCGCTGAAAAATTAATATGGAAAATTTGTTCAAAGAAGCCATAAAACAAATATAAAAACTGCTGAAGCTGAACCCATTAATGTCCACAGTGTAACATTAGAATTTCCTTCACAACACAGAAGCAGGAGCTAACCTAAGCATAAAACTTTAAGAGGAAATGGATCAAAAGAGGCCACTATAGTGAGCATGGACTCTTTTACAAGGGGTTATTTAAGCGTCCAATTTTAACAGACCTCAAAAGTAGTCCGCACAGAGCTGTACTTCTGCCTGCAATTATATATTTCAGCCACATATCTGTTATCAAATTTATACTATTACCACAAGGCACAATAATTAGAAATGGAGATGGTTCGATATGGATTTTCTTTTGCTCATGCCGCTATTTATACCGATAGGTGTGCAATAACTGATGTTTTCTGATATGTTGCATGGTTTTGTAAACATACAGCCTTATTTTTTAGTCTAATGAGTTTAATCTTCTATTTCAGTTTTTATTAAAGACTGTGGCAGCTTAAATATTATTGTCAAATATTAGCAAAAATTTCCATAGATGCCTAATATCAATAATCTGGGAAAACCCTCCTATAATGTGTGTGTAATTTAATATAAGACGATACATAAAGTTTTTTGTAATTGGTTTTGCATTGTAGTTTTGACTAGAGCCCTGCACTCACACGGAACCCGACGCAAAAAAGTGCAGCGCAGGACACATTTTGAAAGCTCATTGTTGGCGCAGACAGGAGTGTAAAGTAAAATATATAAATGATGAATGTATGCCTATCACACATCATTTGCGCTGGATATTTTATTAGGCCTTAATAAAAAACACTTTAAGCAGCCTAAATTTGCATATGTAGTCTAATCTCATGCACATTTTAGACAATTCCTTTCCGCTCCTCCGTGTTTGATCGAGCTTAAGAAAGCGAACGTCCCCCATCTTGCGGGATTTGCGGGTGGGAGCGGGACAAAATATCGCAGATGCGGGCGGGAACGAGACTGAAAATTACAATTCTATGCGGGAGTGGGAGGGAGCAGACTGAAAATTCAGTCCTGCACAGACCTCTAGTTTTGACCTCTTGACCTCACCAGAAGATATTTGTTATAAACTCCCCTGCAGAGCTTTTCACAGTTTGACTCAACCTCATTCATACATCTCGCTCCTAAGTTTATGCTAAAGAGTGAAACTTTTCCTTCACCCAACTAACAGACCATTTTTCAGGGAGGGCATCTGGTGTAAGGACGTTGCTACTCTATTGTGACTGATCTGTTGTGACGGATCAGAGCCGAGAAGAAAGGAAATACAGCTGATTCAAATGTATTCTGAGATAAATGCTCTTTACATTGTGCATTGTTTGGTAAAAGCTGCTAAATAAGAAAAACAATACAAGTGTAAAATATAATCTATTTGTTAAAAAAAATCTGAAGTAATAAGTTACCTCAGTACCTCAATAGAAGCTACTGACAGTAAATTCTTATTGATGTACCTGATCGGACTAAGAACTGTGATGCTAAGAATTTACTTAGAATCATGGGAAATCAAATGCCTGACACTCCCAGACACTTGATTTTGTGTCATGGTGCAACTAAAACATATACCCGACTCTTAAAATCCTGGTAGAGGCCCTTTAATATCCCAATCATGACGTAAACAGAATATACTGTACTATGGAGGCCGCAGTCGACTAGTGATGGAAAGTTAAGATTAGTGAGGACTCGGATTGACTTTGGCGAGGTTCTGGTGGAAGCTGTGAAGTGGCCCCGCGGTGCCGGGGCTGGCAGGGGCCGTCAGGAGCTGGCAGGAACTCACAGTGAAATTAGAGGCTGTCAGTCACCCGCTGCTACTGTTTATTTACACTGACTATACCCCGCACCCTAGTCTTCTAAATGTATTGATTTATCCCTGGCAAAGATCACTATTTTCTAAACTTTATTCTAAGGCCTATTTTCAAAAAATGTATGCCCGTCTTTGTGCAGTCCTGTACAGTGTTGGGTTGAGTCATGCTGAGTGATATTGTGTTTCTTTTGCGATGGTGGTTTTGTTCATTCCGTCATTAAATTTTCACGACTTTTTGTCTGGGGTCACAAGGGGAACTCCCATCTGCTTTTAGAGAGCTGTACACCTACACTCAGATCTATGACTCACGGCTTCGTACCCTAGGAGTTTGTACTAAAAGAGCATCATGTCATTTTTATGAAGAGGGCTGCCAACTTATTGTCTCCATGGTGATGTTTTTGCTTTGCCTGGAATGTTCCACAGTATGGTATTAAACATATACTGTATTTTTCAGCTTATAAGTCACACTTTTTTTAATGGTTTGGGTGGTCCTGCAACTTATACTCCGGTGCAACATATATTTTAAAATTTTCACACTGACAGCTGTGTGAGGGCACTCTAGGCTCATGTGCCAGTATCTGCTACTACTGTTACTTCTGTACCACTGTCACCTGGCTCTCCTGCGCATGTCTCCTACAGAAAGAGCTTCTGCCCTGTCTGTATCATGTCAGTTAATCGCACCATTACTTATGTACGTCTGAAAATTAAAAATGTATACAAACTTATAAAGACAACTGAGAAGACTGAACACAAATGTCCCCAAAAAGAAAATCATATTTTTAAGATTACAAGCTACAGGTAGTGAAATATGCAGCCGAAAGAAAGTCTTGTTTGAAAGAGAAACTTGTGACACCAGGAAGGTGCGCCATGCTACTTTCCTGGAAGTCACTGGATGCATCGAGAAAGCCTGAAAGTAACAACCGAAACCATCTTGTTGGGATTCAAAAAGGCCGCAATAATTGTAAAAGGAACTGAAGCTAAGTCTGACGACAGCTAAGCAGAAGGGGAAGCGGCGCTCCATTTACCTACGGACTTGCACAGAAGTGACACCGTGGATGAAGATTTAAATAAATTTAGTGATTTGGAGTGAGATCGAGAGTTTGGTAAACTTGTTCTGTTCTGTTGTTTATGCTATAGTTATCTGAAGAACTGTTCATATGTGATTTTAACAGCCTGTTGTTGTCCATTCTATTGTTATTACTATAACTTGCCTTTCAAGATGAAGTGTTGGTCCAGTGCGACTTATATATTTTTTTCTTCTTCGTTGCGCAGTTTTTGGCTGATGGGACTTATACTCCGGAGCGACTTCTAGTCTGAAAAATACAGTATATCATTCAATTAGTGCTTAAACATCCCTTGACATCTGATGTGTAACTTGACCTGGTCACCTGCTTGTGTCCATAGAGATCGAAAGGCTTAATGCCAAACTGTGGAACATTTCAGGCCAAGCAGTGACATCAAAAGCAGATGTCACCGCACCTGTTATATTACACAAAACTGACTCTTGTGAGCTTTAAGTAATGTTGTCTTGTTCTTACCTCATTGAACAAAGCTCAAAATGTTCTGTTTCATCTTGTGACGTCATTAAGCAGTAGTTTTCAAGTTCAACAGCTTCTTTTACCCTTTAGTTTAGTAGAAATAGGCAATTCCAAAGCTGAAATTATCCAAATGATTCTAGTGAAGGTGTATGGAGTTTAAAAACACAGTGGAGCACTTCCTGTACATCTGTGACATCACTATTTTATTTATTTATTTATTTTCAACATCAACATAAAACAAAACACAAAAACATAAAGCAACTCCCACAATACCCACAACAAATACAAAACAACAAAAAAAGCCCCCATTCCCCCCTGACCACATACACTGACACAAATTTGGCAAAATTAAACAAAATTAATATGATAGTGCAACATAAACACACCGCTAGGCCCCCTTACATTGACACATTATGGCCAATTCATAATTGAAATTCCTTTTCTCTCTCTTTTCCTTTTTTTTTCTTTTTTTTCCTCTCCCATTTTTAAGTAAGCATTTTTAGTCCCTATACTTAAACTATTATTTTCACCATCATTTCCTTTCATCATTTTTTGCTATTATTACAAACTCAAAGCAGAATTTTAAAGGCATTTCTTTTTTTTTTTTTCCTGACATCACTAGTGTTTTCAGTTGGAGAGAAGATCACAGTTTAAATATGCAGCTTTTGTGTGTTAAACATGTGTGAATGAAACAAAACACAACTCCCGCTATGTTTGTGATGAGGAAACAACGTCAGAACATAAATCAGAAAATTGCATAATATGGGCTCTTCTTTCAAAATGAAATTCAGCCTGATAGGTGCTGGTAAAGAAATTTGAGGAAGCCAATTGTGAGTAATCATAATTTTAGCATTTATTTATTTATTTTTGTGCACTTTCAGGTTAAATACGGTTTTGAAGTGTTCCAAAATCACTGCTAAATATCAGAAGGGGCAGCAGCTGTGCAGTGGGCTGAGCAATGTTCAAACCTTGCCTGCTCACATACTATTTTTGTGTCCCTGAACAAGAGAAATCACAATTCAGGGGCAACCATAAATAAAAGAATAAACCAAAAGAGAGGAATTTAATTAAAATGTAACGTTTAGTATTTGAATAATCTCGTAAATCAAAAGCAGCAGGGTAAACCAACCAAGACTGTAACCTACTCTATATATGGTCAACTTGAAAACATACCAAACTGGCAATAAGGCAATAATGTTCAAACCTCACTGATTAAACACGTGTATTGCTAATTGCCATTTTTAAGTAGTATTTAATTTTAAAGCTTATAATATTTTCTGATCTATGTTTTAATGTTTCCTCATCACAAGCTTTGGAGATGTAGACAGACTAATAATAAAGGGTTACTCAAATCTGTGAATTAAACAACAATTTTGTGTACTACAGGACGTTTAATGTAGTTCTTAATGTATTTTTCGGATTATAAGGAGCGTTAAGTGAAATAAACAGACGACACTTGAGACTGATCTCTTAGCCCAGACATCCATGATCCATTGGCAGATCGTGGTGTAACTCACCCGGCGTTGCCTCCCTGTCTTGGTGAATTTGTATTATGAATGTGAATGTGGGTGGATCATTTAAGTTTGTTTTTTTATTTCCTACGAGGAGGACTCAAATCCACATTGAGTAATAATGTGTTTAATGCAGCTTTGCGCACATTTGTTTATGTTTTACAGAAATGAAACTTAGAACCACATGGCTCGTTTGCATAAACTATAAGTGCTGAAAAAACGGCTCGCTCCTTGTGCGCTGATGCAGTCAACTTCTGTCGGACTAAAGGACATGACTTATTGGAATATGTGTGTTCTCTCTGTGACAGAAGATGTGCTGCTGATGATGAGTTTGTTCTGTGCTTCTATTGCATTGGAGATGGTTCATGTGAAACTTGTCAGAGATTATAAGTCTGCAGGTCATACGCATAGACCGTATATGTTAATGGTCCTATATTCTCTGTAGCATTTCTTCTATGTCATAAATGCCAAAGCAGAACTATACTTCACCCTTTACTCTGTGAGACTTCTGGCTATGGTAGCCGTAATGCTCCGACAATCCATCAAAGTGGTGTGGCTTCGTAGTTTACCAAAGTTGTACATTTTGACAGATTTTTAAGCACCTTGTACCACATAAAATCAGTTTGAGGTCATTAAGCACAAACAGAGTTAATACATAAGGTGCACTGTTGATTTTTGAGAAAATTAACAGATGTTAAGTGCGCCTTATAGTCTGAAAAATGGGGTGGGTGTTATTGTTTCTACCTTCTTTTAATCACTGGGCCTTGAGGAACATTTTTCGAACAATTTCATTTTGTCCTGTGTTTTTTCTCATACTGGTATGACAAATAAATAAAATCCTTTTATTGCCACCACATTTTTATTTTCCTGACCTTACCTGAAAATTCACAAAAATCTGGGCAGATCTTAGTTCAGTAGAGATTTCAAGGCTGATCATCCAAATGATTTTAGTGAAGGTGCATGGAGTTTAAAAACACAGTAGAGCACTTCCTGTATTACCACATGACATCACAAGAGGGAACAGAATGTTTTCCATTTAAGAGAAGAACTCGGACTAAATATGCAGGGTGTGTATGTTTGACAGCTTCTTGTGAATGACAACTTCTGCTTTGTTTTTGATGAGGAAACAACATTGTAACATACTAGTAGATCAGAAAATATGAGTGATTTTTTTATATTTTTTTATTCAGTATGTTCAAATATAGGGACATGAAAGACACACAAACTCATATAAATAACACATACTGTACCTGGAGAGATGTGCAGTCAATCACACACGAGAGCAAAACAAAACAAGACCAAGTAACCAAGTATACTTAATAAAATGTTGAAAAAAATTAACATAAAATGTAGGGGAGAGTGATATTGTTATACATGTTTCCTATAGATATTGCATGTTTTAATAGCTTTTTTGTTTTTGACCAGTTTTATTGTTTGAAAATATTGTTGAATGTGGTTTATTTTGAGTCCATTTTGTTTCGTGTATATCATATTTGGCCAGTATGATCAGAGTTTGAATGAGAAAATATGGGTGATATGGGCCTGTTAAAATGTGAACTTTCAACACAATATTATTAATAAAACATAAATCGCAAATCTAATTACAATCAAAATGCTTTTCAGAAAAATCAGTTATATTTGTTTACTTAAAATCAGCCCTATTACCTCACTACCTATTATCTCACAAACCACTACTTTTTATTCCTCCTCTCCCTCAGATCATGGACGGACCAGGAGAGAATGACCCCGACCTGTCTCCGGCCCCCCACCCGCGCTTCTGCGAGGCCATAAAGACCGACTCTGCGTCCTACAGCGCCCTCTTCACCAGGACCTTCCAGAACAAAACCTTCCATGTATACAAACTCAAGAAAAAACGAAAGAAAAACCCCACCAAAACCTCAGATTCCACCGGCGCTCAATAACCCAAATCCCCATCCGCTTGCTCTGCATTTCGTTCATTATTTTTTGAACATGAGATTGCCTGAACTGTAGCGCAAGAGGCTAGCCGGACGGTGGAGAGCTGCGGGCGGCTTTGTTTTGGTCGGTGGATTGTGCTGGGTTGTATAGGGGTGGTTCCGTGAGGGTTAGCTCTGTTGTTTCTGAGCCCCGCTCGGCCCGCTGTGTTCCTCCGGGCTGCGCTGTTGTGGGTGAACAAACGCACACAAGAGCAGAATCAGCTCGGCATTAGCTGTTAGCCTGGTCAGAGTGGTGCTGGTTGTGTAGGGGGGTGTCATGGGGGTTAGCTCTGCTGTTTCTAAGCCCCACCCGCCCCACTGTGTTCCTCTGGGCTGCGCTGTTGTCGATAAACAAACGCATACAACAGCAGAAAGAGCTAGCCGTTAGCTGTTAGCGTGGTATTGTTTTGGTGAGTGGAGTGTGCTGGGTTGTATAGAGATGATAACATGGGGTTTAAAGGTTGTATGGAGGATTTTTTTTTGTTTCAAAGCCTTGTAATTATGATGACCAAAAAAAAAGAGAATAAAAATTCATCAACTCTGGACGTGGTTGGGCTAAACATTTGCCAATAGATAACGACACTGCCTCGTTATCTGTTAGCTGACAGACTGTCAATCAAACTCCCTACATTTCTAGCGTAACTGACTTGCCTGCGCGCTGCCGTTACGTGGTTTACGTACGCCTGTCACGCAGTCCACAGACGCTGTTTACTCCACCAACGCAACAGTTCTTAGCGGCTTTTTTGACCTATGTCTTCCTCGCAGTTAGCACAAAGTTTGTTGCAATGGCGACAAGAATCCAGGAGCAGTTAGCCGAAAAAGAAAGTCTGTTTTTGAGATTGCTGAAAGAAGAAGACAAGGGGAAAAGCAGCGAAGCCAAACTAAGGTGATTCTTGGAGATTCATTCCAGCGATGGCGCAACTGAAGCAGACGAAGGTCTAAAGACTGACGCATTGGTCACCAAATTACTTCTGGACAGGTCACTTCTGCTTATTATGAAAACGTACTTTATTTCCAAGAGTTAGACAAACGTTTTTCAAGACACAAATGCAATATCCTATGTCTGAAAACGTAATTTTCAATGCAAAGAAAGAGTCCGCTTGCTGCTGCGTGTTGTAGTAGTAGCTTCATTCGCACTGAATCTCCGCGCACCCTTCTCTGCACCCCTTAATGCTCCTCTCCCCGCTCCCCGTTTTTCTCTTCCCCCTGCTCCTCACTTCTTCTCCATGCACGGAATCTCCGCGCACCACTCCCCTCTCCTCTCTCCTCGCTCCCCTCTCCGCTGTTCCCGCTGCTCCTCACTTCTTTTCCGCGCACGAAATGTCCATGCACCCCCTCCCCTCGATCCACACTTCTCCGCCTTGCCTAACCAACACTGTAGTGTTGGGGGGGAAGGACAAACAGTCGCTGGATTTCTCGTTCCTTGGAAAATCCTCTATACAACCTTTAACTCAGCTAGCCGTTAGCTATTAGCACGATTGTAGTTCAGTTTTGGCACAGTGCCATGAAATGAAGTGCAATTTATAGAGTTAGTGGTATCACTTTATAATAACTACAGTTTAATTCGCCTTAATAAAGCATGAACAAAGGCTAGGGTGGCCAAACGGGGTCAGCCCCATGTTTCCTCAGTCCTGTGTTCCCTTATTTCTAAGATTTTTATTATTTCTGTAGTCAACTGCTGCTGGTTAAATAGGTTGACTGTAATTGACTACAAAATTGGGAGAAATTGGGATACATTCTGATGGAAATTATAATTAAGTAAAGGAAATGTGGGAACATACGGCCTAATTTTTTAAACTAAACTTAGAAATGAGGGAACATAAGGCTCCAGGAACATAGGGATGAGGGACATAGACATGCTTTGAGCCAGATGTCCCCATTTCTGCTGGACAGTCCCAGGTTTGAGCCCTATGTCCCCTGTCCCAGTAGATTTATCTAAAACCAGTGATTTGTCCCAGTTTTATGCAAGTCTTATATGATCCCTGCCAACTGTAAAGAGAGGCATAAATTGTCATTTGTTTACAGAAAAACTGCTTAAAATGACTAAAACACAAAGAAAATGTGACTATACTGAATCACATTAGTACCAAGCGCATAACAATTTTCCTTAATTACGCACTTGTTTCGCAACTTTATTATTACCACCATCCCACAGTCTTGGAAACCCTGGAAAAGTTATGGCAAGTGAAAATGTAATTTTCCAGGCCTGCAAAAGTCATGGAATTTTAGTATCTCTTTCACGCAACTACAGCGTTCTGTTAAGTTATCTGTTATGATTATTTCCAAACATATGCGCCTTTTGTTTAAAAGAGACGACAATAAATGCGCTGACAGTATTTTGAATGTTAAAAAACTATAATACCAAACCATAAGGTGAGTGGAAATGGTTCACATTTCATATTTAGTCCTAAAGGTCTGATCAATTCTACACATGTAGGTGCCGTAATTTCACTTTAGGTCATGAAAAAGTCATGGAAAAATTTTGAAAATTTGTCAGTGAAAAAGTGTGGGAACCCTGTTATTAAGAATGGTGACTTAGTGTCTACTTAATGAAGGGGTTAGGGTTATGAGTTAGGGTTAGTGTAGTTAGTAAGCCTGAATCACTTACAAATTCAAAAAGCCCACTTTTTACCAATTTTTTTAGCTAATTTATCCTGCTAGCATACTAATTGTTGCTGAATTTGCTGTTACAGATAACTCCGCTCTCAGCTCTGAAAGTTGTGAAAACTTACCGCTTATGAACTCATCGCACTGAATAATTGGGATGCTCGGAATGCATGCAAGTCATCGAGGAATAACCATTGCGCGTTTTTTTACTCAGGAACAGCGCTTTTAAATAAACTATTTTTCATTCAGCCTTGTTCATGTTTTATTAAGCCTATTGAAAGTGTAGTTATTATGAAGTATTACCAATGCATTTGTTAAAAATCACGAGACTGGAGGACATTTTTTAATACGTTTTGGACACCTTGACAATTGGTATTTCGTGTTTTTGTATCTTCAAAAAGAGCATCTGTAAAAAGTCCTGTGCAGTACTCAGTATTCAATCACAGTCCCTTTGAATGCGTGGATTATCTGTGGTATGGGAGGACGAGAGGACAGTGGAGAGCTGCAGGCTGCTTCACTTTGGTCAGTGGAGTGTGTTTTTATATGGGTGGTAACATAGGGGTTAGCTTGACTGTTGCACTAATGTTACAAGATGTTAGCACATCAATGGAACACTGAAGGCAGTCTTAGATCTGAAATGGCTTGAATCCACTGATGTATTATGAAAAACAGGAAACGGGATTGTCTAAATATGTTGTATGTTTTCATGTAAAATTTGTTTTGTTTTTTAATGTATCACAAATTTGCACATTTCTTCTTTAAAGTGCATATGATAGGTTTGATTGTTTTTCTAACCATAGCTTCATTTGGTGGGATAGTACCTTTTTTCATAGTTTTGCATAAGGTAATTGTTAGTTTGTGCAGAAAAACTGAACATTTAAAATTATAGTAAAGTCCTAATACAGAATCCCTCCATGTCGTTAATTCACAAAATCGACAAACAGGAAAACTAGGCAAGATTTTTATTAAAATCTTAAATGTGACGTTGACTACATATATGTTTTATTAAAATGTGTAGTTTAACCTGTCATATGCACTTAAATTGAAAGTTACGAGTGTAACTATAGTTCTATGAATTCCAGTTGTCCACTAGAAGGCAACTGCGCTTGCTCGACTAGAATCATTCAGTGCTTTTGGTGGTCAGTTGGAATGAAAAGAACTGATAAATCTGTGGTATCTTGAAACTTGAATTTTCCTACCTTTCTAAACACTAAACAACTTATTACAAGATGCCAAATCAGTCCAATAATTGTATCATGAATAGGGATGGGACAATAAACCATAATATCGTTTATCGTGATAAAAAGAGTCAACAATAATTGTGCATGTTACATTTTAAATAATCGCCAACAAAGATAATCACCATTATATCATCAAAATATACCGAAAAAAGCTACTTATCCATGATGAACTCTTCCACATCATTGTTGTTTACATGTTTAACAAAGTACAATTCTGTAACAGTTGTGGAACCTATTCAACATTTTACAATTATAATTATTCATATCCATAACATTTTTAAACTTGAATGATTCTTGTCAGATAATCGGTAATCAGAATTATTTTAGCCATGATAATCTCAGTCTAAATCTTCAGTATTGTCCCATGTCTAATCATGAATAAGGCCATAAGTCTTGGATCTTGTGTCAAAGTGCCAAAATAAACATTGTTGCCATATGAGGAGAAGTGTCATTGGTGCATATGTTGTTTAGTAAACTCATTTCCATTCAAGGCTTGGGTTTCTATTCTTCACATTTTCAGAGAACAATTTTATACTTTTTTCATTGCCTAGTTTGTATTTATTATACAGGAGGTATTCAGTCTGGTCCCCACACCCTCCGTCGAGTTCTGAAACAGAAACAAACAGAATTGGTTAACTAATCCAATTGTCAATCACATCCATCTGACGTTACGGAGATTCAAAGTACTGAAGAAGTACTGAAGAAGTGTGTATTCTGGATCCAAGGGAATTTTTTTTTTATAGCAGTAGACACAGCTTTTAGTAACAATATTTTTTCCTGTTTTGAATGCCATTGGAGGACATTTTATTGTCTTGGCAACAGTAATTTTATCTCTTCAAAACCACCACACAAAGACACATCTCTTCTCCCAACCTCCAATTTCCAACATTTTTGAATATTGTTTGTAAAAGAAGAAGCATTTTAATTCCCAAATGAGAAAAATAATTTCAAGGCTAATTTTTTAGAACTCCCTAAAATTCACCATTCCGCTCCAGCCCAACCGCACAACCTCACTGCTTATTGGAACCATTCACTTATTTGGAGTTTGGACCTTTTCCTTAAAATAAATAGCCCCTCAGTCTATTGCCCACAGAGGGACGTTCTACTTTGGCTCATTTTCACAGTATTTCACAGACCCGGAACTGCATCCAAAACCGCGTTGGCACTACACAGCCTGCTCTTTTATCAACACCATACATTATTTAGAAGCCGGACTTGCCAAAAGTGGAGAGCCCAGACTGAAATGGGGGATCAAAAGAATTATGGGGATATGGTGAATGTACAGACAATAGCAATAGACATGTGAGTTCTTTTATCAGATGGCACTTTTATTTTGTATTGGTAAGAGTACACGTCTAATTATCAACCACAAAGAATTAATTTGTTGTGTTTTAATCTATTTAGTTACATAACAGTTCAGTTTCTAAGTAAATTCAAGCATGATGTCCCTTTAAGTAAAGCACAGACAGAGATGGGTAGAGAAGCCAAATATTTTACTCAAGTACTGTTACTCCAAAATAATATTACTCAAGTATAAGTGCAAAGTAGTGGTCCAAGAAATTACTCAAAGAAGAGTAAAAAAATATTTGGGAAAAGTACATCTCCAGTATGAGTAACTTAACGAGTAGGTGTTGGTATATATCTACTTGATTTGAGGGACTGAACATGAAGTAAGTCATAAAATCTGATGTTTTCAAAAGATAGAAACAAAAATTAGACTAACTACATTATAACACAGGGGTCTCCAACCTGTAGCTCTCCACTCCCTTCCAAGTAGCTTTCCAAAGGATTTCTGAATTATACGTATCACCCTGAATAACTCAGATTTGAATGATTAAATGCATAATTCTTTTGTAAATGTATAATTTTGATGCCTAATTCTGTGCACTGATAACTGGATAATGGGTTACATTTTATAGACATCTAACTGCACCTCATCTTCGGCTTACCATGGCTCTTATATTTACAAATTTTCTGGCGACTGCTAAAATTAGTAGCTCTCTTGTTACCTGGTCCCCGAAGGGTTGACCAGGTTTTGTATTCACCCTGTGTGTGTGTGTGTGTGTGTCTGTGTCTGTGTGTTTGTCCACCCACGATAATTCCGCCATTTACGGACCGATTGTCACCAAATTTGGGACGTGGGTCAAGCCCCCGTGACCGATGCCGCAAAAAAAAAGTTTGGTGACAATCCGAGGTCATTTGAGGTCACACGGGTCAATTGAAAAGTCACACCATTATAAAGGATAGGCAATTTTGGCCATTTCTGGACCATCTGTGGGCTAAAATATTCGCCCAGTCATCACACAAGTTGGCACACACATAACCGGGGTGCACTGGATGTTACAGGTTGAAACCGGTCAAGGTAACCAAGGTCAAATATGTGTTTTTGGTCATAATTCCGCGAAGGATTGAGCTAGAGCAACGGGAATGGTCTCAAAATCTCAGAAAAAAATATCTATTTATAATTCTATGCATTTGTATAGTAAAATATTAATAGTTTTCAAGATAATTACTAATTAGGACAGTTGCTCTCTCTTTCAGTATATGCCGTTAAAATTCTAATTGGTACGAAAATAATTTCCATTTTTTTCTGGTGATACACAACACACTGATCTCCAGTCACAGAGCTAACATATACGGAACGCTGGTAAACACAGACATTCTCATGTGTGACCAATATCACACAAATGTTCATGGGCACTGTACAGCTACACACATTGCATTGTGGATATAACAATCATGTCATATGGGCTGGGCTCCTCATAAGCTGCTTCTGTGGTGATGAACTGCTCCCACCGATGCCTCATGGGGGACCAGGCTGCCATCTCTTATTGTGCTTGTTTTACAAAAAGTAGCTAACAGGAGGAAAAAGGTTGGAGACCCCTGTTATAACAGGAGTGGTGCAAGAAACACAGATGTTCAAATCGTTTAATATTGTCAACATAAAGCTTTTGTTACTTGTAGGCTTACAGTGAGAAAAGTACTCAAAATATGACTCAAGTAGGAGTAAAAGTATGCTGCTAAAAACTACTCTGAAAAGTGCAATTTCTTCAAAAAATCAAGTAAATGTAACAGAGTATTACCACCTGTAAAGATATTTAAGAAATTTAAATCACAGTTGGTTGGTTTTCGAGCTCAAAAATACGTAGAAAAACATTCTGACAGTGAGCGGGGTCGTCTCTCCACAGATCTGACCTGTAACTTGGTCTGGTTTGGTCTCCATAAAGATAGAAAAATAAAATACCATATTGTGAAACATGCCAGACAAAGAAATAACAACTCCATTTGAGAGTTACACAATGCACCTATAAATATAGTACTTTATGTTGAACTTTCCACCACTGGCATGTTTACTTAATTAAAATACTGCACAAATACAATGTACTTTGAAATATTAGGAGAGCTGAACAGTTTGGCAGTAAGTGTAGCGTATGCGTGTGTGTATAGAAAGAGACTGACCCCTGAGTGACTTAACACCAGGCAGGTTGTGGAGCTGAAAACTGCCTGTGGCCAGTGGAATTGTATCGCACAAACAAAAGGGAGCCACTAGCCAGAAGACAGCAACATCCCTACACAATAACACTTTTAAACTATACATTTAGTTTAGCTTCCCTGCAGGCAAATCATAAAAACGCACTCTTTCCAACTGTGTACTTTCTTGCAAGTTTGCTCAAATGTGAAATCATATGCTGTTAACGGATCCATCAGGTCGGGAGGGGATGGAAGAAAACTGGCGAAAACAACTGTCATCCAGGAAAAGACATGTGACTGAACCCAATAATAATGTCGATCTCCGCTTCTGCCATGCGATGCTGCTGTGATGTCCTTGAGCAAGACATTTGAGAAGCTATGGCGTATGCATGTGAGTGTATTTGTCATTGACTGACACTGAATGGTTCTATCCATTTATCTCCGGCGATTTTGTTTTCATACTGGGGCAGGGTTAGGAAGAATAATTTGGGCCATCCTTCAATGTCACCGGGGCAAGCTGTCAGGAGCAGAGCCGTACCCGAGGACCCTTATCTGGATTTTGAGCGAGACTTGGTCGGGACTACCTTAGCTGGAGGATTCAACTGATTGTGGATGTTTTCGGTTAATGGGGGAAGCTCCAGACAGAAAAGGTGGTCTGGGAGTCAAACCCGGAAACCATAGGCGTAACTTTGCCTAGGAGCTGACCAGGGACAGTCCCCGCCAATATTTATGTCACCCGCGGAAGGCAGATCGAGTCCAGACGGCATTTTCGTCTATAGAATTCTGTCCGTTCTCTCCGTTGAGAAATCTACACAAGCTTTGTATCACACATTTTCCCCTGCGGTAACTACAAGCTGAAATGTCCCCACCAATCCTGAAGACAAGGGCTAGGTTCAGACTGGAGGGCAGTCAGTTTGGATTTTTTTGTGGAATCCGATTTTTTTGCGAGGTTGTTCACGTTTCCAATGAAATGCGACTTGTATGTGATCTCCAGTGTGAACTTTAAATGCCCCAAAAGTGTCCCGAATGCACATGAGAGGACACAACACAACATCACACACAGCTCAGTGTTTACAGAAGTAGTCTAAACATGGATGCAGCATTGAGCATCTGGCTATATTAAAGTTGCTGTCGTACCGGAGCCAGAACGTGTACAGCTTATTTGTTTTAAGATTGAGAAGGAGAAGGACAAGGTTTCTGGCAATGGCGTTTTGTTGGGCAGTGGGGTGCGGAGTGGCAGCCAAGAGTGGTGGGATTGCTATGTGCTTTGATTCTCTCACACAGCGCTCATACACAATTTTTGTATGACGAGAAGAACATTTGTGTACATTTGGGACATGTAGGTCGGATGAATGCGACCTGGCCGTTCAGACTGAAGTCACAAGATCGGATATGCATCGGTTTTAGGACCACATATCCAAGTGGCCTGGGTCGCATTTGAAAAAGTTGGATCTGTGTCGTTCAGACTGTCATTAAAAGATCAGATACTGGTATTTGGTCACTTCTGGCTGCAGCCCGAACGTAGCCAAAGTTACACCCTTGCCAGAAACCTTCTTGCCATGAGACAAAAAAGCTATAGTCACCCCGCCATTTTGCCACATTGGAAAACAAGACCAGAACTCTAGTACTACATCTCTATAGCATCGATCTACTGTACTGTTTATCATCAACCTCGACTGACCAGCCTTTCCCTGAGTCTGGAATCTGACCATAAAACATGAAAAATCTCCATCCTAAATTAAGAAGATCCACAGCCAGTAAAATGGAAGTTCTCAAAAGTTCTCGTATCATTCAGAACAAAATATATTACTTCTTTTTTTCTGAACTACCTATCAGTTTAGTGCTTCAACTGTTAATTCTGTAGAAATTCACGCTGTCTCTCAGTCTTCTGTGTTGTTATTTTCTGTTTTGTTTTGTTTTTTTTTACTTTTGGTTTAT